ATTAAAAGATTCAAGTTTTCATGAGGTTACACAAAAAATTGTACTACTACTTTTCATGCGTAATTATAAATACCTAGTATAATTTAAATATTAAACTTAAAAAAACAAGCATTATTCCATCGGAGCTTCAGCAAAAGCCAGTCACGGAAAAGAAGTTGAGAATAACTTCGAACAAAACGTGAATATTAATACGAAGTCATGGTGATTTTAGGTCAACGCTCCTTAGAAACGTGAATCCCATAGCGAACGAAGGACGTTTCGGCTCCTGTAAATGTGAAACTATGTACACCATCACAATAAAAAGAGAAGATACATACGGCCAAAACCATTGACGACAAAAAGATCGGAAAAAGTGTCGATCAGCACGACGTGAAAAATATCATTAAGCTAAGCAAAACGTGAGCGAATTGGAGCAAGCACGGATTGCTCTAATTCACACTGCACTTCTTGCCATCGTGTTTCATTTTTAATTCAAATATCTCCGGCGTCTAGCAGTAATACCATCTCCAATAATTTTTGGGTTGGTTGGAGGAGGTGGAGGAAAGAAGGTGTGTTCCATACGTTAGCAGTGGTGTAATCATGCAAATTTCACTTTGTGGATGAATGCCATTCTCTTTAGAGGTGTGCTCGGGTACACATTGCACTCACCTTCTATGAACTTCGAAACGACACCGGGAAAGAAGAGCGTTGCGCGACACGGTCGAAAATATTTGTGGTTTTCGGTTACACATACGAACACTTCGATCTAATCGTTTAGGGAATATGTTAATATGGGCCGTTGGCTTGCCGGTTGGCTCTGCGACAGGGTTGGCTGCCACAATCCGTAATGTCGTCTGAACATCGATAGAGAAAAATCATCAATTACATTAGAAGGTATTGTTTGGATGATGGAAAGAGGAAATGTCATTATATTGGTCCCCATCACATTGTCTTCTGTTTCGTACATCGCATTTTTTTCGTATATTTTAGTATTTATTGAATAATTGATAATAGCGTTGCCTTAGAGACTTACATTCGATAGACACCTGTAATATTCAAATATCCATCTAATAATGTCCACATATTAAGAATTCAAAAAATCATAATCATATTAACGGAATGTCGAGGTTGCGGGTAATCTACATGTTTCTAACATAGAATATGGCTAGATAATTAATTCGACTGGATTGTTATTGGAGATATGTGCACAATTAAAAAAAAAGTCTTCAAATAAAATTTATATAAACATTCAACATTTTACATACAGAAAAAGTCGAAAAATCTTAACACGAATTTCCCTAAATAACGCTGAGAGCATATTTGAGTGTAGTAGAGAAGTTTGTTGACACATTTTGTTTGACTTGATACGATGTTGCTATGTGCATACACTGCTTGATGTATTGCTTGTTATATTGCAAACGTAGTTTTCTTCACTCTTCCCGTGCCGAAGTTCATTATTCGAGTTTATCATATCTCATTATTCACATTAATATTGATTTTGAGAACATACCTTACGATAAAAAGTTCTATATTATTTTATATTTGAGATTGGCGTATCTTAGAATAACGTAGCATATATAAAGCATACATTTCACATGGTAAATGATGATTAATTCAGTATGATTATAAAAATTAAAATAAAATAAAAACAATATTATTTTAATGTTCAATAAAAACACAACCTCCTTCTAAGTACTGGTCATCGGACTTTGTTCTCTGATGCTTAGAGCCGTTTTATTCGAATTTTAGCCAGAATAATGTTTGTAATTTATCGTGAAGCGTATAGTAATAGATATCGTACAATATACACATTATGACGCCGCGAACTTAATACTTGTACGAGTAATTTTCATTTAGCGAATTAAGTAGCTTATTTGGTTACGAATGAAATGTGCATGATAAATAACATTAACCGCCTATAAGTATTTAAATTAGCATTTAAGATTTGTTTTCGGATTGTTACAATATCATTGCCATTAAAAAGGGAACTCAGATTTTCCTTAAATTTTAAGACGAACCAATCACATTACTAAATAAGTTATTTTTAGACTAATTTAAATAAATGAGCGCTTAATATGTAAATGAACACTATTGGTATGAACCATCAATTTTTTCAAAATATTTTACTTTCTATTCTCTGTTTTATCGTAAGGAACGCAATATTGACCTTAACGTCGACATCTACAGAGTATCGTGCGTACGTGAACGAGCATGACAAATCAAAGAAGTTATCCTATTGGAGTTAACAGAAAATTTTCATCTGCAAACTTATATAGCCCTTAAATAAAAATTTAAATTAATGTATCAATAGGACCATTAAAAGTAATTGAAGTACTAAAGATCAGGCCACAAATATACAAGCCTACATTATTCACAATTACAAAGGGTGTTTCTCAAAACTGTAAAATCATAGTATTTACTTCATCAGTCTTATTTATCGAATCTTTATAATAGCTACTGCGAATACAGCTTAATTAGAGTAAAATATATGATTTCGTAAATAGTTAATTAGCTTTCCTTTTAAGCATTATTTGCAATATTATGTCGCTCTAACCTTACTATTTTTATTCCATTACTTAACGCTCACCTCCCTCTCCCTCGCCTTCCCTGACTATCGCTTTTTAACCATTAAAGAGAACGGTCTCTTTACTCACAATAACAAATACAGAAGGGAGAGTAATACCTGTTGCATGCTCGTTCGAAAAACATTATATAACGGAAGACCGACTATTTACGAGATGCGCACGCCTCTGGGTATCTAGTAATCTTCACTAGCACGTTTTCACCTGCGCATATAAGCCCATTCTATCGCTGCATTCGAAGAGAAAGAGAACGAAGGAAAGCCTCGTGGCCTCCTCTCGTTTGCCCCGTCGCGCTAGTTGAGAAGTTACGTTTGTGCGAGGCCGCGCGCCTTCGCGTATCTTTGTGCGCGATTCTTGCAAGACTACATAAGCCGATTTATCGGCGTTTCATAATTCCTAGGGGCGGGCGGCACCTGCCAGTCAGGGCTCGTAAATTTGTAGAAAAGCGTCAGAGAGCAATGGCCCCGTGGCATTTGAAAAATTCCGAGTATCTTAAACGACGACGAGCCAGTTTTTTCTATCAATCGATTTCTATTTTATAGCGCGAACCTTTTTCCGCGCGATTTAGTTGCTCATAGGTGTCATACCTGTATTTGTTTAATTAATGTGTCTATTCTTCTGAAAAAAATACTTTTATGACCTACAAACGTGTAATTGGTCTCATTGCATAGTCCCCAAGTCATAAATAAAATAAAAATATTTATACCCTCGATATAAAAATGGGTAAACGTATAATATAATGGTTGCGTTATATTTATAATCATATGTTTATTTGTTGTACAAGTGTCATAATTTTTCAAATCTAATGCAGTCTTCACTAAGCTGTGCCTGAAGTATTTATCACTTGTCTTTTACTAATATTGTAAAACAGGTTTTTATATTAATCAGGTCTTTCTATTTCTTTCTATTCAGTCAATCTATTTTTAAATTTAACCTGTAAAAAAACATCCCATCACAATATATTAATATTTCTCCTAATTCGGGAAATCATTATAAAAACTATTTTTGAGCTTAAAAAATACTTTTATATTATAGTGTATTTAAAACGTTTGTCTTTAATCACTTTGTTGGCAAAAAATACTTATTCCATTTCAATTATGAAAACAACATATTCGTCCTGCTGTACACGGAAAATTACTTAATTCTTACAAATATATAAATTAATAAATGAGCTTGAATGAGAGAATGATTAATTTTTCGTATAACGGTGATGGTTTTTGCATTTGACCTGCCTGCTTGGGGTGCAAAAAGTGTGGAGTGACAGAAAAAGTTCTGGTTTAAATAGTTCACTCATCTCCAAGAATGTAAAAACTTAATGAAAAAAACGGAATGAAGAATATGTGCACGGATCTCCAGAGTCGTTAGAAAACCAACAAATAAAAACTATGTATGGCACAAATGATTCGCATACACAAATGTCTTAATTGAGAAGGATGTACTTTTCAAGCATTTAGACCTCCTTGGACATTTGACTTTTATTTGTCTTCCACTTACTTAAAAGTACCATGGATTAACTTAAGATCATACTAGTTATGTTATATATTAATGTACAAAAAGTAATTAATAATTTAGCAATTTACTACGGATTCAACTATTTCGTATAAAAAATTAAAATAAATTAGAAAACTAATACATTTAAAAAATAAATATATAATTTTAATACAAATTGTATTTTAATATCAAATTCAAAACATAGCTCATACCCAGTGAAATTAAAATATTAGCAACAATGAAACAATTCAATAATTTCTCATCATTTATACTCATTAATAAATATTTAACGCAATTTAATTTAATGTCATACTTTGGAACTAGATAATATATTTTATAACTTAATGCAAATTTAACATATTATATTTACCTACCAAGCGTAGGATAGCTATTAGATTATTACAATATAAACACTACTACACGGTTCGCTATGAATAACTACTTGTATATAGCGTATTTTATATGCAATGAGTTTTTGTATCGTGAATTCAAAAATCCAACTCTTCAATGAGCATTAATAAATTAATTGGATCACTGTTAAGGTTTATAAGATGAGAATAAAATATGCTAATCAATGAATAATATTTTTGTTGTTTATTCTGAAAAAAGACATGATCGATGCCATCTTCATCTCACTATCAGCAGAAGCTTCAATCTGTTGTTTTGTCGGCAGTTGCACTAGCGATGTACAGCGCCTCTAATGCTCGCTCTCTTTATTTGTAAAGAAAAGTCTCACCTGCCGCCTGCGGGTACACGAGTGAAAGTGCTCGATTGTATAATTCGAGAGGGTCCGAAAACCGCCATCCAATCAACCATTAACTCCCTCCCCTTGGCCGATACAACTTTCAGGCATACTAACGTCCCTTGATGCGACTAAAATTTAAAAGTGAAATAAACTAACAATGTTACCGTTTCTTTTCGAAAGCTCACCCTTTACTCTTTTTCCAGGCGGCGTCGGCAGCACCGTAATCGGCAGCGTCGGCAGCGATGCCACAGGCTGCGCCATGGGAATGTTCAAGTGCGCTGAAGGAAAGTGCATACCCTCCAGCTGGGTATGCAATTATCAACGGGACTGCGAGAACGCGGAGGATGAGTTCCAATCTTGCCGTGAGTGTCATTAAATCTGATTTATGTTCGGCTTTCGTGAAGCTCGTGTCGGTTGTGCCGATTACCGTTCAAGCAGGCGTTCAGCGATACTGTCCGCTGATTGGTTGAGTCACCGGTCTAGATATTAATCAATTCAAAATCGTGTCACCTCTATCAATGATTCGGTGCCTGCATGCTTTTACATTATGAAAAGAAAGTTACGAAAACTAGGCTGAGGGGTCTCAGAGCTTGTTTATAGCGTGACTCAATTTATACAATTCCCTAACGAATCTTGAACCCAACAAACATAAGTACATAAATAGAGTTAAGTAATAGAGAGAAAAATAGAAAGAGAGAGAGAGAGAGAGAGAGAGAGAGAGATAGAATAAACCCATTGATAAAGAGGGACTTGCGGTCGTATAGCCATGTGCTTAACCAAGTACTATCGAAGGCCCTGATCCATTTTTGATGATTGGTACTTTCTTTTACAGCGCCGCCAGAGTGCGAAGCCGGTCAGCTGACCTGTGGCCAGTACGTATTCAACAAACCCTATTGCGTACCTCAATACCAGCGGTGCGACATGACCGTGGACTGCGTTGACGGAACCGACGAGGCTGGCTGCAGTAAGTACCATTACGCAAGTGAACTCTGGTGGAGGTTAAATAGTTTACGCACCGGTCGAAGTATCTTTGCTTGTAGATTTTTTGGTATTAGCACCTGCTTTTGTTCAATTTGTTTATTGGAAAATACTGTTATTGGTTGGAAAATCTAAAGAGAAAAGGCTTTAGCTGAACGAATTGCTCGGTGATGATAAAGTAGCGTTTTCAACTGGAATGATAATTCATGACTTGGGCAGAAATGTTTTTTTCAGTAATAAAGATTGATTAATTGTAATAGCGACGACAACGATAATGATGAGGGTAGCAGTGCGAAGACTATAATAAGGAAATGAATTTACAGGATTCTGAAAATGCAGTTAGAAATTAAGTTGGAATTAATAGCCGTGCCGGAGATTGTCCGGATTTATTTGATGAAGCTCAAATTATCTGTAATGCCTGAAAGAACAAATCCCTGATTTTTTTGTTTTTGTTTTGTTAGCTTAGCGATTGTAATTAATGCTATATTATTATTTTAATATTAAAGTCTGATACTTAATAAAATGATAAACCGGTACATTTGGTTGCCTAGAATTATCAAATGCCAAATAGAAGAAGAATTAAAAATATTGTGCACAACCAACAAAAAAATCGGATTGCTGAATAACTTCACACGGTAATTTCTATTTTTCCAACGTCGCCGCGTCCGTGTAAATGCATACAGAGTACGCTTGCGTATTTCTAGGTTACTTTCTACGCTGAGACGTACTTTTTTCCATCCTCACGCGAGCTGAATGGCTATAACGGATAAGTAGGGGAAGAAAGGATTTCGATATAAAATTAAAATTATAATGATGGAAGGTGGAGAAGGATAAACGAACGCGTTATCTTCACACGCTATTTTATTGTCTTCGCTTTACCGATTAATGCGCATTTTTTCTTTTCCGTTGGTATCCAGCGCTGGACATCTTTATTTCTTTATCTAGGTCTGGATCTTATATTCTTGAATCGAAGCTGAATATCACTAAACATTAATTATTGTTAATAATTGATCATTATTGTTATGCGTTCATTTATGTATCTAATTCGAGAAAGAGAAAAGTTCTTTATCCTTGAACCCCGCGACGACAGCAGCCAGTATCTGTTTGTCAATTTTTCTCATTCGTGTTATTATTGACCTGTTGTTTCAATTTACTTTATCAAAATAGTCTTCGAAAGAAAATTGAAATTTTGATAAGTAAATTTTACATAAAATTAAATGAAATTTTATCAGCGTATCACAAACAACATACTTAAATAACATTTAAGTTTTGCAACTGACACCAAAAATCAATAATATATAAATATAGATTTTGTCATAAAATTCATTTTGCAATATTCTGTGAAAACCTCGCTGTTTCAGGTTACATTTAATTACATAAAATATATATACAATTTCATATTAAATAAATATTATTTTCAACAAATATTAACATTGTTCGTTAAAATTTAGAAAATACTTAAGTCATTATTCAAGCGACAAAGCCATTATCTACATTCTATACTTAACTCTGTAGAGTAAAAAACAACATGTTTAATACATTTATTGGACATCATTCATTATCTATACAAATTCAGGACACGTCTTGGTTACCAATATTATATTTTATGTCATTATCGTAGTTTTTCGTAAAAATCATAATTATGCATATCCATTATATTGATTGACACAATAATGTATTTTTGGAATTTATGTAAAATAGAATTTTCTCAGTAGAATAAATGTTGAATTCTTTATACTATATACTAATTTATTCTCTATGAATAATGCTTATGTTGATCGTTTTATTTATTTGTATTAAACATTGACTATTTATATCGTGAAAATATTTTAATATATTGGCCAAAATAAAATACACGAAGCCAACAAGAATCACTAGTCTTAACGGACTGAAGTGTTAAAAAAGTACTTGAAAAAAGTTGTCAGAAATCAGATGCGCTTTTTTGAAATCATTATCATCAATTTTTTCATTCGTCATAATTTATATTTTTTTCGCTTTATTTTTCATACGCACGCAGACGCGTAATAGCACATCTCCTTTGTCCTCGCATTGCCGCGTTCTTTTCATTCCTTATTACCCAACACAATTACCTGTTGCTGTCTTTCGTCACCTCTCCCTCCTTGCGGACCTTACGACTATTTAACTACTGTCTCGCATTCTCTTTATTTTCGTTATTCTCTTCCTTCGCGATTTTGCTTCCCATTATGTACATTAAAAAAATTTTAATTAAATCTTTCTTCTTATATTTTTATTTCTTAATTGTGGTTAATTTTTGGTCCCTCTTTGTTAATTTTATTTTTATGAAATATTAAATGCAGGAATGATAAGTTTTTATTGGATTTATCATGAAATTGGCTTTCTCTATATAGTATCATTATTTCTTTGTAACGTCCATTCTTCATTTTATTTTTAGCCTACTTCAAATACGGAAATAAATTTTTTTTCAACTCTCAGTTGGATTTATTAAACTCTGCACTCTATGCTTTATTCTCATTTACATGCCAAATCAATTTTAATACAGTCTAAATGAAAATAATATGAATGTGTTAAAATTAAGCTAATATATAGTAGTTAATAAGCAGTTACGAGAGACTGAATTTATCAGACCACTGCATAATGCACATACTTCTTACATCTATAAATAATAGTCACTATTTATAGACAAATATTAAAATACAAATATTTATAGACGATATATTAAAATACTTAGAGCATTTTCATTATTATATTAACATTTTAGAATTTAATTGAAAATAAATTCTAAACGATTAATTATGATTTTCAAAATTTATTGAAAAATCTCTTTTAGGATAAATAATGTCCTTCTACAAAGTAGAATAATAACAAATACTTACGTATTTAAAATAGAATTTTTGCTCACAGCTATTTTGGCACTTACAAATGAGTAATTGGATTCGCTATTATTTAACTACTAATTTAAATTATAATTAATCAATTCAAATTTATTTGTCATTGCACTTTCGTTAAATAAATTATGTATATACAACAGCATCAATGAATTCATCTCTATTCTCACGTATCACGTATATGAATAAGTCTTTCGAGCACGAAAAACCGTAGAAAATCCCTACCAACAAATGATTCGAAATGACGCGCATTCGCGTATATTTTACGATACTCTCCGCTAAATCCTACGACTCCGTTGTCCGGAAAGTGGACGTGTAAGTCGTTCGCAAGATCGTCAGTCGTAGTCGTACGCCGATGGGAAGTTTTTTGTCTCCCCCACTTGATGCCGTCGGTCACGACTTCGGGAAACCACTTCGCGCGCAGGAAGCTAATTCTCGTAAATAATAAGACTTCTGGCATTTAGAAATTTCGTTACGTACTATTCTTAGTAGTAAAGAATAAACTTGCGAATGATGATTTCCCTTATCAATACGCTGATGCATAATATTAGCATTTTGATTGGTCACTGAATTCCAGCCAATGATCGACGATGGCTTATTTGCCAAAGGTGTTCCGTTTAAAACTATTGCGAAGTGACCAGAATCACGGTAGTTACATCGTCCTAAATGTTATGTGCATGAATGTGTCGTCGATTTTGATGAAACATTAGTAAGTCCAAGGCACTTGACTGTTCACGCCTCCTATTCGCATATAAAAATCGACTTTCAACGATAATATTAATTTAATTTTTATCTTACATTTTACCTTGCGTTATCTCGTTCTTAATATACAGATTAAAAGGTTTTAAAGAATATTTAAAGGGCCATTATTAGCGTTATTAGCAGTCTTGTTTCATGAATAATAATTTTTCGCTCATGTAAGATGAAAAAATATTTTGGAATTTGAATAAAATTATTCTATAATAAGTAGCAAGTTAGATTTCTAAGTTTCTGAACTTGGAATACTAAAAATAGTTTGAACTCTTAAATACTTAAGATGGTAGAAGACCAGTAGTCCAAAAGGTGAAAATCGTTAACAACGAGAAATAATATTAAATCTATTTTATTTACTCGGAGACATGCGATTTCGGTCCTAATTCCCGTAAATTCAATTGCGATAAAAGTCAACGAAGCATTACAATGAGGACCTATGTGGCTTGTAAAATAACAGCATAAATGAAACAAAGACAGAAGGGACCTCAGCAACGCATAAATATTAGAGGGATGCGAATCATGACTCGGGCAAATGTGCGACCAGCATCTAGTCTACGACGAAATGGCTTTCGGCTTGGTAAATTAGAGAGGTGAGAGCTTGTTCGCAAAAAGGGAGTGGGGCACGAGGTGAAGATCTATCAGGAGAAGATATCGGGAAAGACTGACGCGGGGGTGGGGACTGTAGCTGCGCATTTGAGAAAGATGATGCGAAAAGGAGATTTGAGCGAAGTAAAATATTTACTTCGTAGCTCGCTTCATTGCCGAAAGATGCAGTCGATTAATGATAACGTATTTTACTCACTGTATTGAGAAAGTTTACTTATTATTTAATGATATTAGCATTCAATTATTTATCTGTTGAATGTTATTAGCTTTCCAAACTTACAATTTTGAGCCATTTCAACATGTCTCGGAAGCCCCTCCGCTCCGTTCCTCCGACCATCATTTAAGCCACTAAACAAAGAAATATCTCTGGCTATTTTTTTATCGGACGATGAAATTATCAAGAGGAAATGAAGAGTCGTCTCGCGTATTTTTGTCATTTTAAACCAAGAAACATTAATAGTTTGAAATGCTATTGATTTTTAATATTTTAATAATCTACGTATGGTATAAAATTTGAGCTTTTCTTAGTTGTTATTAATGTTTTTATACAAGTATTTGAATATAATAAAACTTTATTTGAATACCTATTCATCGGATATTATAAAAAAGAGCAAACTGTAAAAATATGTTTCTCTAACTGTTGTAATTCATGTTTTTTTCACACGATCTAAAATGAATCAAAATATTATAAATACAGAAGTAGTGATATTAATTTATTGCTTGGTAATTGCAGATAAAACAAACATAATTTATATTCATT